TAACAATCGAACGTAATTTGGGAAAGGGTGGCGATACGCGAGGTCGCTCGGCAACCCCCTCTCTGGGCTGATTTGCACACACTGGGTTTTCGCGAGGAGGACCGAGGGAGCAACAAATGGAGTGGTGACATCTAGGTAACAGTTTCGTCTTCGATGTTCGAGAGAAGTGTGTCGCACCGATCGCGATCAACGCGTGACAACAGCGAGAGGAGGAGAATAGAATGGAGCTGCGTTTAGAGCGACGAATTGACGACGTTCGCCGGACGAGAGTGTGGCATAGTACCTAACTTGGTTTCGTTTGGTTTGGTTTGCTTATTGGGGGTTAGCGTCTGCTCGCCTACGAAGAGTCACCCGCACGGTCGCTGCAACAACCGTCAGAAAAAAAACCGTCAGTTACGCTCTGTTTGAACAGAGAAAACGACTCCGCCGTGACTTTTCCCTCCAGAGTACATTTTCGATGATCGTTCGCGTGCACCGGTTTGTTCGTTTGTTCTGCTCGACCGACGAAAGAACGATGCCAGGCGCTCGTCGGTTCACTCTGATTGATCCGAGTTTTTTTTCACTTGATCGAAAGCTTTGGAAATACGTCTTCCGATTTGCAAGCTTTTGGAAATACGTCTTCCGTTCTTCCTCGATCGAGTACAAAAACTTGGATATTCAGAGTTAAAGTTGCTCTCGATTTCTCACGTTTGACAGGGGTTCTCACTTCGAGACGAAAAACTCGCCGATAGGCTCGAAATATCCCGATTATGTAATTAGTCGATTTCTGGCATCCTTCTTTCTAAGTTTTTGCGAAATCGGCCAAGTTGGAAAACTATAGCCGCACGCTTTGCGCTTTCGTCATCTTTGGTTCTTTTTCGATGGTAACGAAGAAGAAGAAGAAGAGGAGGAAAGCGAAAGAACTACTGGCAGCCGATTCGTGGCGCTACGCGTTCGCGATCACGTGTCGATCGGTAAACAAACGAAGATCTCAACGGTGCTGCGCCCGTCTAGCGAAAATATAAACTGCGTAGAAACAACTCCCCTCTGATCGCTGATGAAGAGTCGACGATAGACGTGTGAATCAGATATAATGCATAAACTTTGAATCAAAGATGGATTCTATCTTGGAGAGAGTGTGATGACAGAACTTGAACTTCCTCGTGTGTATTCGTGTGTATGGGCAACGTGTCTGCGGTAAATGTCATGCTGTAAAAACTTTAGTGTACACTGAATGATTTAAAAGAAGAAAAGTGAAAAAAAAAAAAAAAATGCGGCTGCTCGTGTTAATGGGATAATATATATATATATATTTTTTTTTTTTAATCAACAACATTGCAACTTGCTACTACTTGCATATTACGAGGTTCTATGTTAGGCAAAGTGTGAGTCACGTCTGTGAGTAATTTTAATGCTCAAACTCTTGAATCGCGAGTCGCAAAAAAAAAGAAGAGAGAGAGAGAGAGAGAGTATATATAATCGTGATGATCGTTTGCCAGGGGCTTACTTGATCGCGCGATTATCCACGATCGCTCGGATTAAGTTACGCGAGAGTGGAAAAAAGAGAGACAAAGAAGAAGAAAAAAAAGAAAAGAAAAGAAAGAGAGAAGAACGGAACGACAAGCAGGTACCGACTTTTGGTGAGAGAGAACATCGTGCAGACATGCGCTTAGAAAATTCAAATATCTCGTTTGCGCGTGTACTTTCAAAATTCAAAAGGTGACAAGACACGCTCGAGATCGAGATTTCTTTTCGCACGTGTACGCGTCGAAAATCACTGGAACGTCTACCCACCTGTGCCAAACACGAACAATACGAGGTTAGTATCAAATGTTGCAAAAAACATCGTCAGGCAAGATACTCAATAGAAAGAAAGAGAGAGAGAGAGAGAGAGAGACACGCAAGAGAAAAAGAAAAAGAGAAATAATCGGTGAGAAGGAAAAATGGAGTAAGAAATAGTGGAGAAGGAAAGAAAGAGGAAAGAGGAAAGCGGAAGAAGATGGTAGGAGAGAAAAAGAAGTAGAAATCGGTAAAAAAAAATAAAGAAAAAAGTATGCTCTGTCTATCAACGACTCGACAACAGCTAGGTACTAAGAGATGCATGACTGAGTACCATTCAGCATTTTCTCGCACGGCTTATAATTTTAACCAGTGGCAAAACAGCGACTATCGTCGTCGTATCGGTAGCTCGCTTCGACCAAATCGACGGTCGATCTTGCAAGATTTCATCACAGACGAGGTATACGAATAGACTAAACATCTTATGGAGTTTCGTGGCCTGTGACCTGAAATACCGACACATGGTAAAAAATCACTGGTTTTTTTTTTAGCGCACTCTACGCTTAAACAGCGGTGAGTATGGGAACTACATCTGATCAAAGTTGGTCAAATAGCGAAATAGCGCCAGAAACATGATTTTCGAAATCCATTAGTGTTGTGTGATTCTAAATACCAAAATGCGAAGCTAGTAACTAACCGAAGTCATTCTACTACGCATCAAAAAGAGCCTAGATGTCGTAGTACACCTCGTCTGCGATTTCACGTTCGCCGGAAGAAAAATTGAAGGACCATTCGCGTTTCAACGAGACGCAGCTGAAAACTACGCGTCGTACCCCGAGCGTAGACAAAATTTAATGCAAGCGTCGACTCACGTGGCTACACTGATCCGATGAACCGGGACGAACTTGCAAGAAAATCTTGTCACTGGATAGAATTCCGAGCCATATGTGAACCATTTACGCTCCGGCGATCCACTCGACAGCTCATTGGTGTTTCGTCGAAACTCTACCACGCTGAGTTTCGAAATGACGAGTAGGTGGAACACACAGAGGGCAGAGGGTTCACTCGCGTTCGACACGAACGACTCGTTTTGCAATTGGACACGGTAGTGTTGTTTCGCACGGTAGAATAATCGCTGGACGTTCATCTTACCTCTTGGCAAAGTGTTGCTGCCGATGTCGAACACCGTTTCCCTCGAAGGATTGCCGTGAGACCCCATGGGACTGATCGGAGACTCCGAGTTCGACGCGTTCGCAGTGCCCTTCCTCGAGAAGATGTCGTCATCTCGGCTGAGCGAGTGCCTGAACTGAGACTCCGACAACCGCCTACAGACAAAGCAAAGCTCGTGATTCTTCTCCCATCCGTTCTGCTCTTTCGCTTATCACTTTTTGTTTAATTTAAATTTCGGCCGCAGAGGAGGGAATTCTGCTTTTCTCGCGCGTCGGATGCAAAGAATAGTCGGAACTCGTCTCTCGATAGACGAGAATTACGATACGTCGAGTTTCATATCGAGAAATTCGGGAAAGGAAACGCACGCTGACAGATCGCTGGTACCGATTTACAAAATTATATTTTGCACTACCTTCTAAGACAATCGGCATAGACTACATTGTTCTAAAGTTGTTGTAACAATTGGACTCACGTAGTCACGGTCCTTGTCTCGACATATCTCTGGTAGCTTGCACAAACAAGCGTCAAACCGTTGCCATTAGATATCGTGGAAAATTGATGCGGAAAAAGCAAGTAGAAATAGTGCCTGCTTAAGCGTCCACAGTTGGGACCACTTAAGAGCGGTTAAATATAAAAATGAAAATACATGATTGGTTATCATGTTATTATTTAAAAGTTATGTTAATAAATTGACAATTCTTTCCGAAAAAAAAAATATTTATTAGATAAGAATAGATATATGTAAAATGCCGGTACGGTATATATATATATATATATATTATATATATATATATATATATTTTTATTATATATATATTATATATAATATATATATTATATATAATATATATATATTATATATAATATATATATATAATATATATATTATTATATATATATTATTATTATATATATATTATATATATTATATATATTATATATATATTATAT